TACCCTCGTTTTCTCTCGACCATGAAATTACACGGCGGCCATACTACGCGTAGTACTACGTGTCCTTCGGTTTGATTAAATGTCCATTGAATTCGGTGGCTACCACGCTCAAGGCTGTGAAATTCTCTTACGAAACGGTGTGACGTGGTTCTCCCTCTTCCCCTCTGTTTCTGGATGGAACGACGTACCTAACAGAGCCGGTCTATCGGTTTCTCCCAACGAACCGACGTTGGCCACTGATTTTTTATGACGACCACGTCGTTCATTCAATTGAATAATTATTTCTCGAGTGTTCAGGGCGATTAGATTGTGGACATTCGTTGGAAATGAAGATTTGGTCATTGATTTATGAAAAGTAATATTGATTCTCTCTTTTATATCGACTTGATGAGTGGTTAAAGTAATTTATTGACAAATGAAATGTTCACTGAATTCGTATTATTTGTATTATCGATTAGCTTTGAATTAAGTTATAAACGATACGCAATTGGCATTATGGTTGTGAACGAGTGGCATTGAGTTACGAAAAATGGTAAATAAATTCGAAAAGAATTTCAGCTTTCATCTACGGAAGTCATTTTTTCATCGCCTAGAAATTAATTGAACACGTTCGACCATAAGTAAACTGTATTTCACACGAGGAAAGAGGAAAAGAAGAAAATATATAACCGATAGACTATACGATAACCATTGAAAACGGATATTTCACATAATTCACCGTGGAATTCATTCTCCCACGGTCCCGATATTATCGAATTGAATAAACGAGACCCGGGAAAATGAAAAAAGAAAGGAACAGAATTCGAACGAATGTTTAGCGTGAAATGAAACTTCCTAGAAAAACGGTTCCGAGGGATCGAGAGCGTGTGCTTTCTCCTCTCGAGAACAACACTCGAAAGGGAATCGCCGAGTCGTGAGCCAGAAACTGTTAAGAAGCAATTACCGAGCGGAATTGAAGATTCCAGGCTTCGAAACTCGAACTCTTTGTCGCCGCCCTTACCAGCTCCTCCCATACGAAGTGTGTACGTGAATGTAAGTACGTGTGCGCGCATGTTTTTTTTTCTCCCTTTTTAATCTTATCTCCTTCCTTCTTGCCTCACCTCCTTCGATTAACCTCTTATCCTTGAGAGGGTGGAGCTTCACACTCGAGTGCGTGCGTACCACGCTCGTAACGCGACACGCAGTGCCGCCGGTGAATGAAACAAAGACCATGCGCAGTGATACAACCGTGATTTTTCCGCGACCGCTGGAGTCAGGTCTCCAGTGGTCACGTAAACGATAGCCGAGACGCTGGCCAACTAATACTCTGTTTGTTCGATCGCACGCTGTGAACAACCTTCGATGAAACTGTGCATTGTTCCAATAAATGTATATCTACCTTTTCGAATATAATTAATATTAGTACTTGATCTGTAATGATCAGGTGACAGGAAAGTATAAGTATTCTTTATGGTGCTGCATCTCAGTAGATATTGCGTTCTCTAGAGTTCAATATTTTTTGATAGATATTAACGCATCCAGAATTCGAATATTCGAGCTTAAATATTATCGAACTCTTGTGAATTCAGATTAAATGTCATGACACTGTTATTAATTATTATACTTTCGTACAATGGACACAGAATACGCCTAAGAATTTCTCGCTTTCCAATAAATTATTAACGACAAAGCAGTTGCGTCGATCGTAGTCGAGAAATAAATATTTTGAAAATAGATGTAGTTTCCTATAAAATTCTATTTGCAATCGCAAGACAAGAGCTTAACATATGTTGAACAAATAAATATATCTTCCAAAGAAAATTCTATTTGAGTGCCAAAGGGTTCACGCGTTGACACTAGAACTACCAGATGGGTCAAAATGACCCATTCCTAAATTCTTCTCTCACAATTATCAAAAAAACAATAGATCCTCTAACAAATTTCTAAAGAAATTGTTTTAGTAACACGCGAACTAAGTTTCGAATGATCGAAGTCTCGATAGATGCACTCTTTGCATCTATGCAGTTTCTATAAAAAAATTTTGAAAAGTCAACTTGACTGCTTGGTAGTTCTAGTGTCGATCGCGACTCGGTCTTCTCGAGAAGACCGTAATATCTCGCCGAAACAGTACGCCGCCGTGAAGAGTGTAGTTGTATCGATCGTAGTTGAAGAATAAATTGCAGAGCAAAGGGTTAACTTATATTTTGAAAATAAATGTACTTTCCTAAAAAATTCTATTTGGGACCTGAGGGGCTCACGTGTTAATTGCGAGGCGGTCGTAATATCTCGTCGGAACGGTGCGCGTTCGTGAGAGGAGCGAGGCTCTCCTCGTCACGGAATGCGTCACGGTGCGGTGCAACGACGCATCGGGGAAGGCGAGGAGAGGGTCTACGCACGGCCACGGTACGTTGCGTACGCGCGCGTAAACGTAACGATTCCGCGGGAGGCCAACGATCCGCCTCAGGGATACCAGCCGCCGCGTTTACTATTTATAAGTAACGCCGTTGCGGTTTTCTTGATTGTCGACCCGATCGCTCGGCTTGGAGGGGGTTGCAATACGCTGAAGGGAGAGGGAGGAGGGGGCAAGGGAGGGGAGGAGACGGTAAGACAAGTCGCTCTCTCGGCAGGCCCGCGTTTATTATTTCGCCTTGGAATATCTGGTGTCGAGTCCCTGTTAAATGATGCAACGCTATCGCGGTTGCACTCGAGCATTTGCATTTTTCCCCTCTATACTACCCTTTTTCCTTTCGGTTTCTTTCGTTTGTTTGTTTCTCCGGTGTTTTTCATTTCCTTCTCTGTGCGTCTGTCTCTCTTTCTTGGTAGGAGAGCTGAAGAGATAATGTTCCCACGAGGACGAGCTCTTTCCGTGGATGGAATGCGCAGGAGTAGATGGTTAGAACGGTGATATAGGGGATAGTGAAATATTAAGAGCTTGATGCTTGGGGTATCGATAAGTGCAGGGTGGATTTTTGTGGGAATACGGTTGGGAGAGCAGAATTGTGGT